TAGCACCTATTCAACAATGTCACAGATTTAGCAATCTTTGTATAGCGTTGATGACTTTTCCATCTGTACATACATAGCCTCGATAGAGATCAGATCTTGCAAGCCGATGAATGGAGGATGCTCGCGATTTCTGAAACCCTCGGTCGAGCTTCAGGATGAGATGGCAATGTGCGTGTGCCTGCTTACAACAAGATGTAAGCAGCCGAGGCCACCAATGATACCTGCGTAGTTGTTGACTAGTAGACAGATGCATCCACACACCGAAGGGTACGAGGTCCCCTCCCGAGCGTACTTGACAATTCTGACAGTTCGCGAACGGCTCAGGACGCGTGAGAGAAAAGAGGATTCTGTCTGGAAGAGGAAGGTGTTGTGGATTGAGAGGGCGCTAATACACCTTTCCGGGATTGAGCATTCACGACGACATGGACGGAGCAGACAATACCGGATATCATGTTTCCTACCATTCCCACGCACATCGACGGCCTTTACAGTCTACGAAGGGTATCAATATCCCAAATCTACTGACATACTCAGGCTGCTTCTGCATGGTTTCGCTCACATCGAGACTAGCTCTTCAGAACTTTGTATCTTCAGCGAATTATCGTTCGCAAGGGTCACACATGCGCAAACTTGGCAGACTACAGTCAATCTGCGATAGGCGACCAGCCAAGTTACCTATAATTTGTGTGAGTAGTTGCCACCTAGTACCTCCAATACAACTCATCTCCTCGCTGGTACTTTCCACGCACCGACCATGTCGGCACTCTCAGACCAAGCTCTTGTTCATTATTACTTACAACTGTGGGGGTTATTTTTGTTTGCACTTGACAACTCAAGTACTCAATATTCACTAATCATTCCTTCGTCTCCCAGTGCCACGTGCAACTATATCTCCGCTGCTGCCGTGTGCAAGTACATCCTTCGCCTCCCGTTGCATTGCTCACACAGTAATTTACCCTCAGGCCTCGTCGTCTACGACCTTCTGGTTACAATTGATGACGAGATTAAACTTGTCTGGAAGAGACCGGTGACTGCATCCGCCGTACTCCTCGGCTCGGTACGATGGTTTATGCTCCTCGCGGCTGCCCTGCAGTTCGCACCACCAACTCAAAGCGTAAGCTTTCATGCCTTTATCTATGTGTAATATGTTACAATCTTTGTTATAGGAGTAAGTGCATCTTGTCTGCGGCCCGTGGGTGACCAGTCACTTACCGGAAGTCACACCCGACACACAGCTGCACGCCATTTTCGATCCTGACCAGGGCGTCCACCTTCATTCAATTTATCCAAGTGGCACGTACGTCTTACACAACCTGCGCACATTCACAGTACCCCACCTGACTTCTATATGCCAGTCTTTTCCGCTTTGCGCGTGTTCGCAATCTGGGATAGGAGCCGTGTCTGGTCGATAGTGGTGTTCGCACTGAGCATGGTGGCGTTCGTGACGAACATAGTGCGTATTACCTCTGATAGAACCCCCTTATACTCTTGTCAATATTTCTACGCAGTACGACGCGGCGGTAACGAAGTACGGATTCTTCACTGATCCGCTCGTTGGGAAGACATGCATCAATGACCCTCTGTTCTCAGCGCAGCAAACAGACAGAGTCATGATGTGGGTGCACATATCTCACCGCTGGATTTTCAGAATACTAATCTTTGCAATATAGAAGTACGTTCCGTAGTGAAAATCTTCTGACATGCTGTGGACCCTGATGTCACCTGCTTACAGTCGTCTATACCACACGCGCCTCACTCATTCTTGCCGACATCATCATGATCGTCCTGACGTGGATCAAGACATTCGGACAATGGAGGGAGACCCGCCGCCTCAACATGAAGGTACCGCTGACGAGGTGTCTGCTACGTGACGGTCAGTACCCCCCCGCCGCCCTCGCATTTACTGCCGCTTAAGCCCAGCTGTGTATTTAGGAACTATTTATTTCATGTGAGTGGAGCTCGTGAGCGATATCCGGAATGATCTCTCACAGACGACCTTGAACGAATATAGGGCTCTCCTGGCAATAAACATAACCCAAATTCTGACCTACAATTTCTCTACGGTACGTTCCCGACATGAGTATGAGGCTGATAACTGACATCAAGCTCAAGAACATATCGCTCGTGGGCACGCTGAAGACGACCTTGGTGCGCCCCCTACGTTCCGTCAGCCCTACTCGTACTCATTAACTGGTCATGCAGCCCTCGGTGCTCATTAACCGCTTCATCATCAATCTGCGGGCAGCCGGCTCGGAACCGCCAGACCACTCTCTGCGCATCAGCGATCAGCAGCAAGGACAGTCGATACCACAGCTCAGAAGGCATACGGATCGGTTGGGGAATATTGTGGGGACGCTGCAGGATGTTTGGGGAGACGAACCCTGCGACGAAGATGCCGATGCCGCAGTAGTGGGCGGGGAAGGCCATCATGAGATCGGTGCTGAAGCGTAAGCCAGAGTGCGAGCCGAAGATTTACCAGAATATAGAGCATGCTCCATTGCAGGAAGACAGTTGCATTTGTTGCTTCTATGAGTAGTAAAATCGCAGCTTATTATATTGAATGGCCTTAATTCCTAAATGATATCCCGTCTGGCTCGGCGATACATAGATACATGCACTTCGGGGTGATATTTTACGCAAACTATGCACCATACGCTCGGGCTCATCTTACTGGTGCTATCACAATGATCAGCTGCAGGACGCGCGGTATTCTATTATGTCGCTCACGTAATTTGCACTCTCGATCATGGCAAGCGACGCACTCCTCTTCCGTTGTTTAGAGGCCAACTGCTCCTGCAGGAGCTCATGCAAGATCTGACATTTCTGAATGCGGATGCTATGCTCCCAGGCATTTCAGGCGAAACAGGCTCACACGGCTAGATTGTGCAACCTGCAGCATCCCAACGTGCGAGTGGAGACAATTCTCCGGTTGGCGACGCGCTCTAGCTCGTCTGGTACCATCGCGTGCAGCATTGGA